GAGAACTCTTTGAAGTCCGCTCGAGACAATAACAAAGAAATGTATGGCGGCCGACCCGCTAGATCGAGAAAATCGTTCAAAATTAACGCGTCCTTTTGGATTTATTGACTTTTTAAGCTTGAAATAGCTTTTTATATGTATCATCTGTGACATATGTGAGTCTCAAAGACATCCCATCAGCAGAACATATTTTTTCGGGGACTTTTTGAAGGCCATCCGAGACAATAACAAAGAAATGTATGGTTGACCGCGCGCTCGCCCCAGTTGATTTGCGCCTGAAGCAATATGGCGTCGATTATCCTTGGATCGGTCTATTTTAACGTTCATTATATCCTCTTTAAAGAAAATATTTGTAAAATAGGCCCAGCGGTGAAATAAACAATGAAAAATGTATTCTACGGAAAGTCAAGACTTTCGATAAAAGGCAAAGCAAAATCTAACAAATATGTTTGCCGTAGAAATCAGATGAACCCCCAAGTCGTGTCAAATGAAAATCGACCTTACTTTGAATGACCAACAAAATAATTTTCGTTTTAAAAATTGAGAACCTTTTTTGTTGCCCGATTTTGGTACGTTTTGAATTGAAAACGCGCAAGACAGGTCTACCGTGCAACTTGCTTAAATCTCGCCAAATAGATATAACCACTCCCATCCCCTCAAGATTCTTAAGTTTTTATTGTTAGCAATCTAATTCGGATAGTTAAATCACTGCAATTGCTCTTCAGCTATCGGCTATATTGAATATTGTTAAGGTCCGTTTACACTTGCAAATTTTGCAGCGCGATTGTCGCGCGACAATCGCCACTTTGTTCTCTCGCACCTTAAATCGTAAGTGTATATGTAAACAACCCTGCGATTGTCGCGGCGATCAAAAATCGCCGCGAGTTGCAGCTAAATTTCAAGCATGTTCGAAACTAAGGCGATTGTCGCGCGACAATCGCACTGCAAAAATTGCAATTTTTGCTTGCAATCTTTGCAGGGCGATTGTCGCGCGACAATCGCCTTAGTTTCGGACATGCTTGAAATTTAGCTGCAACTCGCGGTGATAGCTTTTGATCGCCGTGACAATCGCAGGGCTGTTTACACGTACGATTTGAGGCTGTCGCGCGACAATCGCGCTGCAAAAATTTCAAGTGTAAACGGGCCTTTAGGAGGCAATTACTGTATGATACTAGATAAGAAATTCATATCTAAGAGAAGGTTTTCAATATATATGATATGATTTAGGTACTAGAGTTAAAAGTTTTCTCAGTTGGTCGAATGTTCAAACACTTAAAGTGAAGCTGAGTAAACGTTAAAATCCAAATTAAAGCATCGATCATGATTTATTGACAGTTTTAGGATCATATACAATTTTTAGAATAATACACAGTCAGAATTTAACGTATTTCAACTGTCATTTTTGCATTCAATAATTTAAGTCCACGGCTTTGTCCATAGACGAACGAGAGCGCGTGACGGCGAGTGCGAGTTAAAGGATTCCAGTCTCTTACGTGACAAGGGAAAAAAATTGTACCCTTTACAGCGATTACCCATAATTCATTTAGATCTTGTAATCTGGTTTTACGTGGAAAGATAATTTATTTCAATATAAATGATTTTAAATCAGCCAGCGCAGCTTRAAGTTCATCATTTGGGGTCATCTCGATCAACAATGAAGTTCGCATTCTTTACAGCGTTAGGTTTTTTTTCTTTGTTCATCGGTTGTATACAAGGTAGGTCAGTTAAAGTTGGACAGTATAAACTCTGATATTAGTTAATATACAGCCTTTTGCAAAAATTATGAGAATTGTCTAAATATCTAAATATCATAATATCCATATCCATATATTGTCCGGAACACGCGGGTTTGCTAGAATAATTCATTGTTGACATCGAGAAAATGTTCAGAACTACGGATAAGTCWGTCGCCAAAAAAAACTTAWSAACAAAGACAAGGGACGAAGGGCATCGCGCGGGACCATGCACTTGATATTATGATATTTAGATATTCCAACAATTCTCATAATTTTTGCAAAAGGCTGTACATGTATATAAATAATATATCCATTTATCATATAATTATCTATAAAYTACCTATATTCCAYAGAGAAAACTAACGCATTCAAGATTTCTCTATATATAATATACTGGAATCAAGGAAAAACGTTTTTTACGACATAATTTGCTTTTATTGATCGGAGATGTGAAATTTATCTTCCGTACGCTTACTCGTGAGAGATCTTTTCAGCACTCGACGATAAAATCTGTATCKCCGCGCGCCCATGTAATATGCYCTATTTATATAAATATATCTTCTCATACGTGATATACTATATCAATAATCATACTTCTTMTTATTATTATTATTACATATGGTTCTCGGCCACCTCTGTGTGTCTGTTTAATTTTTTTTTTGCTCATTTATTTCATGACGTTTAAATTTTGCTCAGACTATCATTGCATGSAAAGAGAGTGTAAATCAATAGGCCAAAAATTAGCCAGGACACAACTAAAAAAATATTTGAAAAACAAAAAAAAGCTCAAAAAGTAGTATCTTCTACTCAATACTTCTTCCTATATCTGTCTGTGTCGTCGACCACGAGATATTGTCTCACTTCAAGGAGACCA